TTTCAATATATATATATAGATTTAAATGATATATCCGCAGAACTGTTATATACAATAAAAAACATATTACGCCTGAGGTTCTTTTTACGCAAAATTCGTTGAATTTTTAAATATATATGTTTTAGTTAAAATTTTTTAGGGACGAATTATTTCTTATTAAAACTATTGAAATTTGCGTTCCGTGACTGAACGGCGCCGTGTCTTCAAGTCGAATATTCATAACCTTTTGTCGTCAGGCTTTAAAATGATTTTTAACGGTTCAGAAATAGGACATTTGTATAAATATTTTTTTGGAATGGGTAAATTCGGACTGTGCTCTGTGAAATTTCGGTTTCTCGGTGGTGAGTTGACAACAAAGGGTCAAATTATTTTTTCTACCTGGCAATTAGGAACTTATTTCTCAATTTATTTTTTAAAAGATATATTGGCATCAAATCTATAAAAAAACCATTTTAAATTTATAAACACGGATTCCATTTATTCGTTTCTGTATATGTTTTAAATGATATCGGCATTTTGACGGTTCGTATCGATCTCAAACATCTCTTGTCCATGGAGATCAATGTCATTATGAAATATATTTTAATACACTTTCAATCAATTTAAGAATGACAATGGTGTCATAGAAATTACAAAGAACGAAAAACAATTTTAATTCTTATCAGGAACTTTTGAACTTTTTTGTTATTTAATTAACATTTTTAAAAGATTCATAGATTTGAAAGAAATTTAATCTAGCAATTTCAGCGAATGTTAAAAAAATTTGAAATTACGAGCCTGGGTGTTGTGAATTGGGCCAATTAATTTTTGTTTAAATTTATGATTCAATAGATCAAAAAATTGAAACCATCTCTGGTTAAACTAGTCTCCTTTGTTCATCTTTTTTAATATGAAATTAACTGTTCATAAAAAATATGGCAACTATCTTTCGTTATGGTCTTTGTCAGTTTTTTTTTTTTCCCAGGACCATTGAATTAAATTTTTCATTTTCCTAAATTTATTTAATCTATCCCTTTCCTCTATAAACATCATTATATTTATGCTTTATCGGCAGAATACAGATGATGGCTTTATATTTTATTATTTGAATGGGTCTTATTATTAAAGTTTTATTTTTATTTGAATGTTTTTATTTTGTTTAATAGATTCGTCTCCTTCCCCTTCTTTTCATGATAGATTACTTTTTTATCTATTTTTATAAGAAAATTATGAAAAAACTGTACATATTTATACTGGAACACACCTATTCTATAGTTAATAGACTCTCCACCTATAAAAATAGTAGTAGTAAGAGTAACGGTGAGTAAAGTCGATTGGGTTGTTCAGTCAGTCGATGTCGGACGACCGTTAGTCGGATATTAAAGTATCAGCCACCACAACTAGATTTCTCTGCGTCATTACCTATTATATCAAGTTCCTAACGTTTTGTACGTCGAACCTATTTTAGGACCGACTTAGTACAAATACAAGCCTTTTCCATTCAGCCTCGTAAAATATGGAAAATTAATCAGTGTATCATTAATCAAATAAACACACTGATTGGAACAACTAGTTCTAGCTTCCTGGCTAAGACCTCCACCCATACCGCGAACATTGGAGGGAACCGCCTTTATTCCCATCGTATCCCATCGGTAGGAATCAATTTCTACTCCAGCAGCTTCTTCTCACGAACCCCTGCTTTGGGGAATCGACTGGATACTTCTCCGATTACTACAAAGTTAACTTGGTCAAGTCTAGCGTTAACCAAGATCATTTTACATATCGCTATAAACTTTATTTCTAATTCTGCAACCTTCTACTTCGAGTGGCTGTTGGGCCTTCTTCAGGGTGAAAATTATTGTAAAAAACAAAAACAAAAAACAAAACAAAGATCACTGTATACGTGACTAAGGGGAACAACTAGAGGATTAGGGTAAAAATATGGTATACATGAGTTCCACTTAATGTCTTGTGTGAACATGTGAACCAACATGTCTTCAAGGCAAGGAATCTCATAGAGAAAGTTAACGTTTATTATTTTTGTTTTGTTAGTGATGGATCGTACATAAGTTCCACATGAAGTCTGAGGTTAACATGTGCCCCAATAGACGTTCAATCTCATTGAGAAAACTAACATTCATTATTATAGCATCTTTGGTGAAGGAATCGTATACCTGACTTTCATGTGAAGTCCGGGATTATCATGTGTACCGATAGGCGTTCAAGGTATGGAATCTTACTCACAAAACAAGCATTCAATATAGTAGGCGAAAGTTTCGAATCTGATCGGTGATAAGGAACCGAAAGCTGCCCATGGCGGTAGGATAGCGACTGAAATCACGATGCCAGGACAGGACCCATAACATTACTGACCATTCTTTGGATTGTCTTGCCGAAAGTGAATTAATGAATATTTAGATAAATCCAAAATACTCTTTGGAATAGAATGGCAAATTGGAATAAAAGGGCAATTTTCAGAACAAAAAAAAAAAAAAAAAGAAAGAAAGAAAACATTATTTACATTATTCAGACTATTGTCCTCATCTTTGTCGTCATATTTATTACAACGTTTCGGCCGTTATACGCTCCGGCCTTCTTCAGGTGGTTGGAATGTCGAACTTAACCCTTTATTTAGCTCACTGGGGTAGACTGTTCTAGTTCCACGTGCCATGTTTAATGGATGTCAGTTATCGCCTGCTAATTTCTCTCTGCCTTAATAGTCCGAATAATGTAAATAATGTACATAATACCTCATCTCAGAAATAGAGACAGATACTGAAAGAAAGAAAAATAAACATATGATGAGGAGGTTGGGATAAATAGACGGGTTGGAACGGCATAGAAATATAATAAATGAGGGGTCGTAAATAACAGTGGGTAGTCTGTCATAAGAAAAAAAAATAAAATAAAAGTTAAATAGGCGGCCAGGCCCATCTATTCCGGACACGAGAGTACTTACAGGTTAATGGCGGGCTGAAGGTAAAGAGAAAAATATCACAAAATATTTCCGTCTAGACTACAAAAGTTTAAATCAAAATTCTGTTCGTTTCGTTTCAATTAGTTGAAACTTTTTTCTTTTGTCGGAAAGAAATGAAAAAATGAAAAAATAAAAAAAATGGACAAAGACAAAACAACAGAGAATTCACTTCGCCCCCACCACCACCAAAAAACACTGAACTAGAAAAACAAAATACGAATCATATGTAAACAGAAGAAAATGAAAATAACTCTCAAACAACGCCACCCCGCCTCCAACAAACACTAACAAGAAAAAAAAAATCGCAAACAATGAAATGAAAGTAAATTGAAATTAAAATCTGCTAGGGGAGCGGATTAAAAGATTGTTTCGGTGAGATAAAGCAAAAAGAAAAGATGAAGGATGAATTAAAACTTGTGGTGGTTTATAAAAGTTGGATAAAAGAAAGAGACCAAAAAGAGATAGGAAGAAAAAGGAGAAAGTTAGAGAGAAACATGGAAAAGACGGAAGAAAACGAAAACAAAGGAAATGAAAGGAAGGCAAAAGCAAATAAAGGGAGGGGAAGAGAGAAGACCAAAAAGAGATAGGAAGAAAAAGGAGAAAGTTAGAGAGAAACATGGAAAAGACGGGAAGGCGAAAACAAAGGAAATGAAAGGAAGGCAAAAAAATAAAGGAGGGGAATAGAGAAGACCAAAAAGAGATAGGAAGAAAAAGGAGAAAGTTAGATAGAAACATGGAAAAAGACGGGAAGGCGAAAACAAAGGAAATGAAAGGAAGGCAAAAAGCAAATAAAGGAGGGGGAAGAGAGAAGACAAAAAAGAGATAGGGAAGAAAAGGAGAAAAGAGAGAAACATGGAAACAACGGGAAGGAAAACAAAGGAAATGAAAGGAAGGCAAAAAAAGCAAATAAAGGAGGGAAGAGAGAAGACCAAAAGAGATAGGAAGAAAAGGAGAAAGTTAGAAACATGGAAAAGACGGAAGAAAACAAAGGAAATGAAAGGAAGGCAAAAGAAATAAAGGAGGGGAATAGAGAAGGCGAAAAAGAAAGGAAGAAAAAGGAGAAAAGAGAGAAAAAGGAAGGCGAAAAAAGGAAATGAAAGGAAGGGAGGGGAATAGAGAAGACCAAAAGAGATAGGAAGAAAAAGGAGAAAGTTAGAGAGAAACATGGAAAAAGACGGGAAGGCGAAAACAAGGGAAGTGAAAGGAAGGCAAAAAGCAAATAAAGGAGGGGAAGAGAGAAGATCAAAAAGAGATAGGGAAGAAAAAGGAGAAAGTTAGAGAGAAACCTGGAAAAGACGGGAAGGCGAAAAACACAAGGAAGTGAAAGGAAGGCAAAAAAGCAAATAAAGGAGGGGAAGAGAGAAGACCAAAAGAGATAGGAAAAAAAGGAGAAAGTTAGAGAGAAACCTGAAAAAACAGGAAGGCGAAAAACAAAGGGAAGTGAAAGGAAGGCAAAAGCAAATAAAGGAGGGAAGAGAGAAGACCAAAAAGAGATAGGAAGAAAAAGGAGAAAGTTAGAGAGAAACCTGGAAAAGACGGGAAGGCGAAAAACAAAGGAAGTGAAAGGAAGGCAAAAGCAAATAAAGGAGGGAAGAGAGAAGACAAAAAGAGATAGGAAAAAAAGAAGAAAGTTAGAGAGAAACATGGAAAAGACGGGAAGGGAAAACAAAGGAAGTGAAAGGAAGGCAAAAGCAAATAAAGGAGGGGGAAAGAAGACCAAAAAGAGATAGGAAAAAAGGAGAAAGGTTAGAGAGAGAAAACCTGAAAACAAGGAAGAAAGGAAGGAAGGAGGGGAATAGAGAAGACCAAAAGAGATAGGAAGAAAGGGAAAGCAAGAGAGAAAAATGGAAAGACGGGAAGGAGAAAACAAGGAAAAAAAGGAAGGAAAAAAAAAGGAGAAAGTTAGAGAGAAACATGGAAAAGATAGGGAAAAGGAGAAAGTTAGAGAAAAAACAAGGAAAACAAGGGAAGTGAAAGGAAGGCAAAAAGCAAATAAAGGAGGGGAAAGAGAAGACCAAAAGAGATAGGAAGAAAAAGGAGAAAGTTAGATAGAAACATGGAAAAGACAGGAAGGGAAAACAAGGGAAGTGAAAGGAAGGCAAAAGCAAATAAAGGGAGGGGAAGAGAGAAGAAAAAAAGAGATAGGAAAAAAAAGGAGAAAGTTAGAGAGAAACCTGGAAAAGACGGGAAGGAAACAAAAGGAAGTGAAAGGAAGGCAAAAGCAAATAAAGGGAGGGGAAGAGAGAAGAAAAAAGAGATAGGAAAAAAAGGAGAAAGTTAGAGAGAAACCTGGAAAAGACGGAAGGGAAAACAAGGGAAGTGAAAGGAAGGCAAAAGCAAATAAAGGGAGGGGAAGAGAGAAGACAAAAAGAGATAGGAAGAAAAAGGAGAAAGTTAGAGAGAAACCTGGAAAAGACGGGAAGGCGAAAACAAGGGAAGTGAAAGGAAGGCAAAAGCAAATAAAGGGAGGGGAAGAGAGAAGACCAAAAAGAGATAGGAAGAAAAAGGAGAAAGTTAGAGAGAAACCTGGAAAAGACGGGAAGGCGAAAACAAGGGAAGTGAAAGGAAGGCAAAAGCAAATAAAGGGAGGGGAAGAGAGAAGACCAAAAAGAGATAGGAAGAAAAAGGAGAAAGTTAGAGAGAAACCTGGAAAAGACGGGAAGGCGAAAACAAGGGAAGTGAAAGGAAGGCAAAAAAAGCAAATAAAGGAGGGGAAGAGAGAAGACCAAAAAAGAGATAGGAAGAAAAAGGAGAAAGTTAGAGAGAAACCTGGAAAAGACGGAAGCGAAAACAAAGGGAAGTGAAAGGAAGGCAAAAGCAAATAAAGGGAGGGGAAGAGAGAAGACCAAAAAGAGATAGGAAGAAAAAGGAGAAAGTTAGAGAGAAACATGGAAAAGACGGGAAGGCGAAAACAAGGGAAGTGAAAGGAAGGCAAAAGCAAATAAAGGGAGGGGAAGAGAGAAGACCAAAAAGAGATAGGAAGAAAAAGGAGAAAGTTAGAGAGAAACATGGAAAAGACGGGAAGGCGAAAACAAAGGAAATTTTCTTAAAAAAAGCAAATAAAGGGAGGGGAAGAGAGAAGACGAAAAAAGAGATGGGAAGAAAAAGGAGAAAGTTAGAGAGAAACATGGAAAAAGACGGAAGGCGAAAACAAGGGAAGTGAAAGGAAGGCAAAAGCAAATAAAGGGAGGGGAAGAGAGAAGACCAAAAAGAGATAGGAAGAAAAAGGAGAAAGTTAGATGAGAAACATGGAAAAGACGGGAAGGCGAAAACAAAGGAAGTGAAAGGAAGGCAAAAGCAAATAAAGGGAGGGGAAGAGAGATTTAAAAAAGAGATAGGGAAAAAAAGGAGAAAGTTAGAGAGAAACAAAAAGACGGGAAGGCGAAAACAAGGGAAGGAAAAAGGAAGGCAAAAGCAAATAAAGGAGGGGAAGAAGAGACCAAAAAGAGAAGGAAGAAAAAGCAAAAGATAGAAAATGGAAAAACGGGAGGGGGAAAAACAAGGAAGTGAAAGAACAAAAAAATAAAAGGGAAGAGAGAAGATGAAAAAAATTTAGGAAGAAAAAGGAAAGAAAGAGAAACCTGGAAAAGACGGGAAGGAAAACAAAAGGGAAGTGAAAGGAAGGCAAAAGCAAATAAAAGGGAGGGGAAGAGAGAAGACCAAAAAGATAGGAAGGAAGGAAAAGAGAGAAAGAAAAGATAAGAAAAAAAAGGAAAAAAAGAGGCTAATGCAAAAAACTAGGGGAAGAGAGAAGAAAAAAAAAGAGAAGGGAAGAAACATAAACATGTACGAAGGAAAAAAGGACAAATGGGAAGGGAGAGAAGAGAGAAGTGAAGAAACATAAAAGTAAAAAGACAAAAAAAAGGGAAGAGAGAAAAGCAAAAAAAAAAGGGGAAGAGAGAAACGAAGTAAAAGAAGAAGAGAGAGAAAGAGAGGAAGAGACATAACGAAGGAAAAAATAAAAGATGGAGAACGAGGGAAATGGAAGTAAGGCCAAAGCCAGTGAAAGGGGGGTAGAGAGGCGATGGAAAACTAGGAGAGAGAGAGAGAGAGGGGAAGAAAAAGGAGAAGGAAGACATAAAGAAGGAAAAGAAGAAAAAGGCGAGATCAACGCATGTGAAAGTAAAGCGAAAGCAAGTGAAAGAAGAGGAAGAGAGAAGTGATGGAAAACAAGAAGAGAAAGAGAGAGATAGAGAGAGGGAGGAAGTAAGTGAGAGGAAGAGGGAGAAGGAAGATTTAAAAAAAGGACAAGAAGAAAAAGGTGAGAATGATGGAAGTGAATGTAAGGTGAAAGCAAGTGAAATGTGGTGAAGAGAGAAGTGAAGGAGAACAAGAAGAGAAAGTGAGAGAGAGAGAGAGAGAGAGAGGAAGAAAAAGGAGAAAGAAGACATAAAGAAGGAAAAGAAGAAAGAGGCGAGATCAAGGTATGTGAAAGTAAGGCGAAAGCAAGTGAAAGAAGGGGAAGAGAGAAGTGAAGGAGGACAAGAAGAGAAAGAGAGAGAGAGAGGGAGAGAGATAGGGAGAGAGAGGAAGAAAAAGGAGAAGGAAGACATAAAGAAGGAAAAGTGGAAAAAGTGAGAACGAGGGAAGTGAAAGGCAAAAGCAAGTGAATGGAGTGGAAGAGTGAAGCAAAGGAAGATAAGAAGAGAGAGAGAGAGAGAGAGAATGAGAGAGAGGAAGAAAAAAGAAGGAAGACATAAACAAGTAAAATGAGAGGAATTTGAAAACTATGGAAAGGTGGGTAAGAGAGAAGTGAAAGAAGATAAGAGAGCGAGGAAGAAAAGGGAGGAGGGAGACATAAACATGAAAAATGAGATGAAGGCGAAAACAAGGGAAGTGAAAATAAGGCGAAAGCAAGGGAAGGGAGGAAAGATAGAAGTTAAGGAAGAAAAAAGGGAGATAAAAGAAAAAAGAGACGGGTGTCACTAACAAGGAAAAGGAGAGAAAGGCGAAAACAAGGGAAGTGAAAGTAAAGCGAAAACAAGGGAAGGGAAAAGTAAGGCGAAAACAAGGAACGGGAGAGGCAGATTCCAGATGTTCTAAAGATCAATTCAGAAATGCATCCTATGTGTTTTTTAAATTCATTTCTGTATTTTCAATCTCCAGATGTTCAAAAGATCAATTCAGTAATCTATCGAATAGGTGTTTTTTTTATTCATTTTATGCATTTCTAACCTCATAATGTATTAAATATCTATCGTATTGATGTCTTTTTTATTCTTTTCTTTATTTACAACCTCCAAAGATAAATTTAGGAATCCATCGAACGTATTATTTTTATTCATTTCTGTATTTCCAGTCTCCAGATGTTCAATAGATGATTTGAGGAATATATCGAATAGGTGTTTTTTTTATTCATTTTATGTATTTCTAACCTCATCATTTAATAAAGATCAATTCAGGAATGTATCATACTAATTTTTTTTTATTCTTTTCTTTATATACAACATCCAGATGTTATGAAGATAAATTTAGGAATGAAACGTATTTTCTTTATTCATTTCTGTATTTTCAATCTCCAGATGTTCAAAAGATCAGGAATACCCTGCGTGCCAAATTATTATCGAGATAACTTTTTTTCTAATATTTCAAAAATCGTCCAATCAATTAACACAAAATTTTCACACAATGTTGGCAACACTGAGCTGCGCAATCACTGAAATGTTCGTACTGATCTGCGCAATGTAAACAAATTGGCGCCATATTTGTTATCAACACAATGATTTGAGCGTGCCAAATTATTAGAAAAGTATAAGAATTTAGTGAAAACATGGGCCGTAAAAGCAGTTTAAGTGATGCTGAAAAGAAAACTATTACCTCAGAACTCTCAAAAGGTAAATCTACCCTAGAAATTTTTAAAATGATAGGGAAGTGTCATCAAACAGTGAAAAATTCACCGCCGACCCTACACAATTACGCAAAAGGGCATATAAAGGCAAGTCCAGGGTTATTTCACGTCGTCTCATGTCACGACTTAAACGAGAGGGCACGAAGAACCCTGGACTTATCAGTCAAGCGCTTTTCAGTCGCATTGGGGATCCTACTGTGTCTAAAAGTACTCGGTGTCGGTATCTGAGGGAAATAGCAACAACAGTCAAACCTGTATCGAAGTCTCCTTTGACGAGAAATCACATTCAAAATCGATTGAAATGGGCCGAGGACAATATGAAGATTGACTTCTCTAAAGTTTTGTTCACAGACGAAACTCAAGCAACACTTGATGGGCCAGATAGATGGTGCAAAGGCTGGGTAATGAACGGACAGAATCGCCATCAGTGTTTGAGACGCCAACAAGGCGGTGGAGGCATAATGATTTGGGGTGGTATTATTGGAAGCACATTAGTGGGCCCATGGAGAGTACTAGATGGCGTCAAAATGACTGCTGATGCATACATAGCGTTTATGAAGGAGCATCTTGAACCGTGGATGAAAAGACAAAGAGTTTCCTTCAGAAGGGCCATTGTTTTTTATGCAAGATAATGCTCCCTCACACGCTGCTCACAAGACTACTGAATATTTTGAAAGAGTTAGGTTTCGATGGTCCTCGAAAAATGAAGTAGCCAGCAAATTCTCCGGATTTGAACCCAATCGAAAACCTTTGGAGCATCATGAAGCGAAGACTGTACGCCAACGGACGACAATTCAGGAGCAACGCTGAGTTGTGGGAAGCAATTCTTGACATTCTCGCGGCATTACAGCAGATGACATCCTACAATTAACAAATTCTATGGATCGTCAACGTTTTCAAGTAATTTCAAAACAGGGAAAGCACATTCCCTATTAATTTGTTTAAAACTGTGCCTTTGTTTGTATCTGTTATTATTTGTTTGATTATTTTATTTATTAGCTTCTTTTGATCATAAACATTCACGTTCAACATTAATAAACGTTTTTTTTGCTCAATTCTGGGAATTTTACTAAACCTTTCTAATAATTTGGCACGCTCAAATTACCGTGCTGATAACAAATATGGCGCCAGTTTGTTTACATTGCGCAGATCAGTACAAAAACTTCAGTGATTGCGCAGCTCAGTGTTGCCAACATTGTGTGAAAATTTTGTGTGAATTGATTGGACGGTTTTTGAAATATTAGAAACAAAGTTATCTCGATAATAATTTGGCACGCAGTGTATACCGATTAGGTGTTTTTTATTCATTTTATGCATTTCTAACGTCATGAGGTACTAAGGATCAGTTCAGGAATTTATCGTATTGATGTTTTATTTATTCTTCTCTTTATTTACAACCTCCAAATGTTCTAAAGATAAATTTAGGAATTTAATATATTGGAGCTTTTTAATCTTTAAATTTTTGTTTTTCCAACGTACATATGTTCGAAGGTTCAATTCGGAAATGTATCGTATGGATGATTGTTTTTTAATTCTTTTTTTTGTATTTCTAACCTCCAGATGTTCTACTGAGGAATTACATAGGGGAGTAATGGATAGCGGCTTGGATTGAGGAATGAAATATTTGAGTTCGAATTTCAGTCGAATCCATTACAGTCACTTAAATTTAATAAAATAGGGAAAGGTGTGAATCCTCTTCTCCTCCAGCTATGGGTAAATAGCAGGACAGACTGGGTTCTATAAATTGGATGGCAACTGGTCTAGGAGAAGGACAACTCTGAATTCAAAACCTGCTAAAAAGATTGTTTGGGGACCTTGTCGCACGTTAAGTGCACCAGGTCTCTGTATTCGGTCCTTCAAAAAGTGTGGACAAATAATAGGTATTTTGCACGAAACCTTCACCACTATAATTATTCTCATGTGTGCTATACAAGCGGGTTCGGGGTTTCGCTTGTGAATTCAAATAAATTGAAACTCCAATATTGGAACCGTCTCAACGCCGTTAGAAGAGAGAGATGTTCTAGAGATCAATTTAGAAGTATATCCTATTAGAGTTTTTTTGTTTTTTTCTTTTTTTAATCATTTTTGTATTTCCGAATTACAGATGTTCCAAGGATCAATTAAGGAATTTATCGAATGGATCATTTTTTAAAAAATTCTGTTCTGTATTTCCAGATATTCTAAAGTTTAGTTGAAATATCACATCTATTTTGTTTTCTTTTCTCTACTGTCAAACTCCCGGTGTTCTATCGAAAATTTCAGACATGGAACATTTTGAATTTGTGTTCTCCTTCTGTCAACTTCCAGGAGTTCAATAAATTTTCAAACATATATGAAAATTTCTAAATTGCAATTGCAAAACGCAATTTCTGTACCTTCTCAGGATTGAGAGTAACATTGTTTAACAGAAATTTCTTTAATTGCATGAGAAATCTATTTTTTGTGTACTTAGCAAAGAAAAATGACAAACATTGCAGTCTGTTTATAATAAGTTGTGATTAGCATCGACTTCGCAATCACATAATATGAATAATTTGCAATAATGTTTTCCTCCCCCAAAGGACTGAGAATTGAAAACAAATAAAGGGTCATTAATCATGGATGTTTTTGTCCGGCCATTATTACAAAATTAAACAAGAAAGAAAAATGAAACGACAATGGTAATTAGAAGGGAAAAAAACGGAGTCCTTAAACAAACGTAAGAAATTAAAACAAAGAAGAAAAGGTGAGGTTGTTATGAAGAAGATAAGGAAAGAAACGAGGAGAAAGATAGAAAAGAAATTATTCCAATCAGTATAGAAACATCTGTAAAATACTTCCTCTTCCGACCATTTTCTCAATATCTTTAGCGATGTAGTGTATGCATGAGTTAAGCTGGGTTGAGCTTCAGTTCGTGTCTCTTCAGGACGTGGGAGATTATGAATCTCTCCAACTTTCTATCATTTTGTAGCAGTTATTAATATTTGACTTTTACAATCCATTTCTCGTCAAGTAGGTGGCCTGCTATCAGATCCTATCTTTTTTTGTCCTCGATGTGTCCAGTGAGTATAAAATTTTCCATGACCTCTTTCCTCATTACGTGCCCCACAATTTTCGGTTGTCTTTTTATTGTTCTAATAACAACCGCAAATAAATACTTAACAAGAACAAAGAAGCAAAAGTCAACCAAAGATAATTAGCCATTTCAGTGAATGCCTTGTTAGTAGTGCAGCTCAGCTTAACGTCCGGTAAATCCTAAATCAAAATCCAAATAATCGACGCACAATAATTCACAGTAATTCGACTGGATAGTTCCACTCAATAGTCAGACAATAATCATTCAATGATCACTGCAGTCAGTAGCCTGACACCGCTATTTATACACCTGGCGAAAAGCATATATTCATACATCCAGAGTGTAGTGATTCATTTCTCCATTTCTCTTCGGGTAGGTGGCCTGCTGTCAGATCCTTTCTTTTTTGTCCTCGATGTGTCCAGTGAATATCAAATTTTCCATGCCCTCTTTCCTCATTATGTGCCCCACAATTTTCGGTTGTCTTTTTATTGTTCTAATTACAGCCACAAATAAATACTTAACAAGAACAAAGAACTAAAAGTCAACCAAAGATAATTAACCATTTCACTGAATACATTGTTAGTAGCGCTGCTCGGCATAACATATGGGAAATCCTAAATCAAAACCCAAATCATCGACTC